CTTAAAAAAAAAAAAAATGTTAGGGCATCAACAACCGTCCAATTCATTCAATCAAAAATTAACACTCTCTCTTATTCACCTCATTTCTGTAGATGTCAAAATTTTAAAATGTTATTAATTAATGTCTTTATTTATTTTTTTGGACATAAATCCATGATAAATAAAATATATAATTAATAATATTATTATTTCTTAGGAAAGAGATTATGTCAAATCTATCTATATATATCTAAAAAGGTTGATGTAAAAATCCTTTTTTAGAAACCTAAAAATAATTGAGTTGACTTTTGACTTTCTATTTATGTATTCTACTTTACAATCGGAAGAAAAATCGTGAAAAGGCAGTGGATATTTCGTTAATTTAGCATGAAATTTGCGTTAACTAAGCAAATGGATATTCTCCTTAATAATGGTGATATTTCCGTTAATTAAGCATGTGAAATTGACTGTCCATTGCAAAAATCATGGGACTTACTATCTATCCAAATACAATCCATAACTATCTTATCACTTTTGGTTAATAAAAAATATGTGAAATTGATTGTCCGTTACAAAAATCATGGGACTTACTATCTATCCAAATACGATCCATAATTATCTTATCACTTTTGGTTAATAAAAAATTGTATAAAAGGATATTCACTACCACCATTACAAGAGTTCAGAGAAAAAAAAAATACAGAGAATAATTTTTCATCGCATATACAATATAATGCTTACAGGCTTTTCATCGCATATACAATATAATGCTTCCAGGCTGGGGTACACCGTTAACAAAAGAAACAAACTTTTTGTTGTGTCTGAGACCACCCGGCATTATTGAAACTCATCATGAACGGGAGAGCTGTAACGCATTCCATATACTGTTTCATGATGAACAGGTAATATTTACCTTTGTTATTTCAATTTTATATAATTTAAAAAATTATTTTAATTAATATTTATAAATTTGTATCGTAGGGTGCTTTCATTAAATGCATAATATATGAGAGCAACAAACTTTATATAAACTGAGAGCAGTCTAATTTTTGTAAAATATGTAATATACTCTTAAACATGTTAGTTATGTAATATACTCTTAAACATGTTAGTTGGGCAAACTTTAAGGATATATATATATATATATATATGTGTGTCTATGCTAACTTTAAGTATATATATTTTTCTTATAAAATAGTCTAGGCAGAATTGAAGTAATTTCGCCTTTTTCGATAATAATATAAAATATTTTAATACTTTCACATATGTTATATAATAGTCTACGTATTCTTAATGTCTTTTGGTTATAACATTGTTAACACATATAATATTAGATACTTTTAAACATATTTAGATAATTTTTTTACTCATTCTTTAATATCTATGTGCATAAAAAGAGAATAAGATTTATAAAAGATTTTCCGGCAATATACTAAATGTTAGATAAAAAATTTCATTTTATTTGTTATATAATATTTCGAGTTGCATTAATTTTGATTTGTATGTGTAAACTTGATAAATTAAGCGTATGAAAAGGAGCGTACGAATTACTGTAAAGATTTAAAAAATAAAAAATAAATCTAATTTTTTAATATTTTCTACTAACTTCTAAACGAATTTATGTCATTATTCGTCATAATTTTCCCACATCATGTCAATATTAACTTTATATATACGAGGCAAAAGGTAAATCATTATCTCAATATTTATTCTATATATTCTAAGTAAATCTTCTCATCTATCTCAACGGTCCGCAGGTAGTATTTCATACTTTTCTATTCATAATCAAATATATCAAAGCTTCACAAATTTTACTTCACAAAGAAAGTGTTCAATAATTTATATTTTTTTCCCTTCTTTGCAATCTATTTATTTTTGTTACATATATATAAATTATAT